AATTTTGATGTACCGGCCGGTACATCAAAATTCCGGCCGGTACACCGAATTTTGACCGAAATATTCGGATTTTGACCGAAATGAAATTGCATTATGTATCGTTTCGGTTAATGTAAAAAACCGGTACGTACCGACCATACCGGCCGTACGAAACGGAATTGACTACGTTGGTTTAAACCTAACGATTCAATCTCAACTCTTAAAGTGTTTGACTGAGGTGATCTGAGTTTAGATCTCCACTATCGTCTCGAAAACTCCTTTTCTCATTCCCTCAAATTGTACTCTGTTAAAAAAAAAAGAATATTTGTTAGCAACTCCGCTTTCAGGTGAGATGACAGAAATTTTAAGAAACAAAACAAATCAAATTCAAATTAGAATAAATCAATCAACCCCTTACCTCCATTCAATAAATTTCAAGAAAGGTTGGAGTATGTTCTTAGCGTTAGGATGATCCCACTCCACCACTGATTCCCACCATTCTTTCAACTTTTTAAAAATTTTGATTTCTCTGAGACGAGGAGGAGGAGATGGTTGGCCATTATCAAGCAATGGAAGCTGCACAGGGATCCTCTTTAACTCTGGACATTCCTTTATCCAAATTTCTTCAATCGAATCACAAACCATAACTCCTCTCACATTGCAGATGCTTTTTAATTGGGGTAAATCCTCCAAGAAGAATCACCTTAATTTAGGACAAGTGAAAGTAAATTTATCCGATGATGATGCATTTAAATCTGATGAGGCTATTATCTCCTCCGTTTGTTCGCAATTGCGAACATGAAACACCTCTTAAGTTTTGGAGGCCCTGTAGTAGCTCAAGTGAAAGCAACTTCCTCATTCCAGAACATCGCCATATAGAAAGCTCTTTAAGATTTGAAAAGGCTTGGGGTGATGTTGCTACTCCTTCCCCTCTCACCAGTACACTCAAGTTAGGCAAGCCAGTAAGAGTCAACTTTTCGAGCTTATCCAGTACTGGACAACACAACGAGGAAGAGGATGAGTCCAACTCTACTATGCACTCTATCCCTTCACAATCACCAATAAAACAGCTCCTCAACTCGGTTGCATTTTCTAACAAGACTGTTTTGTTTAAGCTGCATCTCATGTTTTTCATGTTCTTACATTTAGCGATCCACAAATGCTCAAGAGTATCTGGAAGCACTATACATTCTTCTCCAATCTCACATTCAGCAATTAAAACCTTACGTTGATATTTATCACTAGACACATAAACTATGTCTTGTTTATCTATTCTCAGTTGAAGATTGTAAGCAGTAAGACTTTCAAAATCTTTAGACTTATTGACAAGATAGTTGAAGTCTTGTATGGCCTCCATTTCACATTCCAAACTCTCCAACTTGCTCAATCTAGCACCTTCTAAATTTATCATCCCTTTAGCAATTGAGATGTCCAAGCGCTGGAGACTGAAAAGGCTAGGTAATATAGCCGTTGGAATCTCTTTCAAATTTTGACAAAATAAATCAAGATGTTCAAGACTAACCAACATCTCCATGCCTTGAGGGACCACCTCAATCCCTGCCTTATGCAGATCCAACTTCTTCAATGCCCTGAGCTTTGCTAAGGAAGGCAAGTACTTTAACCTCTTGCACTTCCTCAACCGTAGTGCAGAGAGATTCACCAAGTTAGAGATGGAATCAGGTAAAGCTTCAACACCAGTACGAGAAAGATCAAGAACCTTAAGCCCTACCATACCTTCAAAAAAGAGATTCACCAAGTTAGAGATAGAATCAGGTAAAGTTTCAATACCAGTACCATAAAGTTCAAGAACCTTAAGTCCGACCATACCTTCAAAAAAGGAACTCGGAATCTTTGACAAATTACGATTACCTGCCAATATCAAAGTTGACAGAGACGGACACTTTGGATTGAAACCAACAGGAATTTCTGAAATGTAATTGGCCATTAGAGACACCTTGTTAAGATCAATTGCCCAGTCCTGCTCATTTGGTACCTTTGTCAATTTCATACCAGCTTTGACCATATATCTAACTTCAGGACCAATGCTTTTGATAGCCATGTCTCTTACTACATCATGCATCTTCAACCTAACTTCAGACTCAACAATTTTCTCTAACAGGTAGTTCCTTTCAAGTCTATTTAAAATACAATGGCCCTTATCATAAGCTTTTTGTCTGCTTCCCGACTCATCAATCCAATCTTCAATCAACTCCTTTCTAGAAAACTCATAATCTTCCCGGAACAAGGAGCAATACAGAAAACATTGTTGGATCTCTGGACTTCTTAGACGGTCATAACTCCATCTTAACCGCATAAATATCTTATCCTCCATACCTTCCATGCTTTTTA